AAAACTGGACAGCCATTTGTCCAAAATGGTATAGGGTTTCCTGCCTGAGCAGGGGGTTGGACTAGATGACCTCCAAGATCCCTTCCAACTTTATCATCATTACTTCCACTTTCTCTAAGGGGAATTGCTCAAGACTCTTTTCTCATTTTGGTTGCCCTTGGCTGCAATCTTTTGAGTTCTACAATAGACAAATCACAACAAAACATGATTTAAACATCTGGTTTTGATTACTGGTTTGCTTTTAAAAAAGATCATAACTTAAGGGCAATACCACTTGAAACATAAAAGAAAATGTTTAATTTAAACCACAAATCAGATTTTTCCAGCTCCAGGAAGAAAGGGAAGCTTTCAATATAAGCTTGTGCAAGTAACCTCTAAGCCACAATTCAATACTAGATTCAAATTTAACCATAGCTTCCTACATCCAGATCTTGCCGTTTGCCCAGATTTAATGACCTTAGGGTAGATTCTCCTAGGCAGCCATTATAGATTGCCAAGCAGGTATGATAACTCAGTTGGGTAATGGAATTTCTTGTCACTAGTAATGTGGTCAAAGTGTGAAGTCACGTGACTGCATGGCTAAGTAATGGCAATCCCCAGAGTCCCAACTTCTGTCTTAACCCCAGAATGACACAGGTCATTAAACAAGGATCTCGCATGATTACAACACGGGAACAGGACAGGCCAGCAGGTGGCAGCTACAGGCGGATAGGTGCCATAGGCATACTCTATTGAGCACTGGCAAGTGGATGTCATGGGCAGGCTCTATAAAGCACAGGAGGCTAGGCCAGGGGTAGGCAACCTCAGCTCTTTTATGATTCATGGACTCCCAGAATTCCTGAGCCAGCTATACTGATTCAGGAATTCTGGGAGTTGAAGTCCATGAGTCATAAAAGAGCCAAGGTTGCCTAACCCTGGGCTAGGCAGATGCCACAGGCAGGTGCTGCAGAGCACGGCTGTGAGAGCAACTTGTGACTTTCCCTGTCAGCTTCCCCGTTGACTTTGCCTGTAGGAAGCAGGCAGAAAAAGTTACCAATGGCAATCGTGCAACTGCAGGATGCTGCAACTGATTTAATTGCAAGCCGGTTGCCAAGTGCCCAAAATCATGGTCAGGTGAGACCACGGCGATGCTGCAACAGCCGCAACTTCAAGGATCAGTCGTAAGTTCCCCTCGTTCAGTGCCATTATAACTTTGAATGGTTGCTGAGCAACTGGATATAATCTGAGCACTACCTGCGATACAGTTTGTGTGTGTTCATGACTTAGCATGAAGCAATAGTCGGCGTCCTTCCTTTTAAATAGCTTGGCTAACACCAGGAGGCCTAAAAAGCACGAGTACAGTTGCACAAGGGTGCTGAGCACGACCCAAATATTTTAGTCTCTAAAAGATAAGTTGGCACAAATTTCTCATTTTGTATTATCGACTATATTACGTTCCATAGAAATATCATTACAGTTTCCGACAGCTCTGTGTTTAAAAATGTGCAAATTTCATTATTTTATAACGTTGACTGACCAAAAAAGTCCTCTAAAATAAAATCAAGAGAAAGCTAATTTAGAGTAAGACACTAGGCGTTCAGATGTAGCGGCAGGATTCCTATGACTTCTACCATCTCGTCCGTTAGGAAAGCTAGTTCTTCTGGTCGTAGTGACTCAGCCGTCTGCCTAGAAGAACTGTTCATTGACATCTTTATTAGAAAGTTCTATAGTTGAGCCAATCAACTGGTCTTGCCGCTGGCCCATCCAACAAAAAGGATTCTTGGCGTGCTTTCTGAAAAAGAGGAAACATTTCAGCACCATCTTTAACGTAAGGTTCTTAAACACACACAGATCCTCAAACTTTGGGGCACCACGACCCTCCAAAATACTTCATGAATTTGTGTGACACTCCTTTACAATCTTACCTTCCCTCTGTTCCAAAGCAGCTTTTCCCTGGGGGGGAGGTCAAACTGGCTCCCCATTGCAAAACTGTTTTTTCTGCAAGAGGTTCAAATGCCCAGGTTTCCTGGAGTGAATATGCACATTCACTACCAGGGTCCAGCATCAAATCCAGGGAAAGCCATCCCTGGAAGAGGAGAGGGATGAAGACTCTGCCAGGTTGCCTTGAGCAGTGGTCAACAGCTGGTTCAGGTCTTGCAAGAGCTGCTGGTATGAGCACAAAGAAGGGAAGCCCAGAGCTGAGCTCCCACGTATGTCCTGGTCCAGCCAGAGTGGGAGTGGACATACACAAAGCCCACCTGCAACCCCCAGTTTGGGAAACTTTGCCTTGAGATCCTGGGTCCCAACTTGGAAGGAAAAATGTACTTTTACCTACTCTTTGTCCTTGATTTTATTTAAGACTCTTCTATATTTAAAAAAAAAATGAATAGGAATTAGAATGGAGCAAAGCATCAGGAATCAATTTCCAGCAATACTTTTATTTCTATTCATGTTTCCGAACCCCACATATATCCCAGAAGGATTCCTAGAAAATAAAATGATGGGTGGCTACAGTTTTGCTTGCTTTCTGGTATATGGGCCATGGTGGGCGTGTCCAACTATTTTGTAAATGTGCAAATAGGCTTTCGAAATTCCAGAAGTGTGCATTGGTCCAAAAATGTTGGTTTAGCAATTGGGATTAGTGTTGCTTTTTGTCCTTCCCCATGCTATGTCAGCAGCTTAGAAGTTATTAAATGGAATGGAATATTTCTGTCATGATAATCATCACACGCAATTCATTTTCAAAAGAATATTGATATACGGTATACGTAACAGCTTTCCTCAAGGTGGTACACTCTAGATATTGGGTATTTCAATTTCCCAAATATCTAGCCAGCTCCATCTTTGTACAGAATACTTCATGATACATTTAAGATTTTAAAGAGAAGTTCTAAAAAATTTTTTTTTTATCTATGCAAGTAAATTCTAAAATAGCTAATATGTATATTCACGTGCTTTGCTTGACTACCATAAAACCATCTGCTCTCTACTCCTTTTAAACTTTTGAAGAATTTGTATTTAAGTTTTTGCAAGGGACACACTGCCACGACACTGTGTACATAGGCTGATGAAGGGTGTCAAATTCTTGAAGTTCAGTGCTTATATTTCTTGCTTAAAGCAGGGCTATTGCCATCACTGCAGCAGTTACTTCCCTAGTTTCCCAGTTCAAATTAAAGCTACCACATTGTTCTGTGACATGCTGATCTAAGTGTCTTTTCTGACATGTCCAATCAAGGTTTCTGTACACATAATCTTCAAATTCAAGATTAGGTGTGCAGAAGCTTTCTGAAAGTGTTGAAAGAGGCTTCTTGCCAACAAAGTGACCCTACGCTATCTCAGGAGGCCAAATACGTTGCCTCCACAATATAACCTGCCCAGTTGAACGAAATTATAAAAATTATAATTTTTTTATAAATATTAACACTGCAAAGTTAAAAACAATCAATCAAAAAATACCAGCTATTCTTTAACAATAATAACATCTTTGCATCAGCGCTGCTGTTAAGACATTGTCCAGTTTCAAAAGAGGTTTTCAAAGAGGCCTATTTGAATGGCACCTTCTCTCAAATTGTTTGAAAAGGCCAAAGGTGGACAGAAAAGTTAGGGCCACAACGGAGAACTTCCAGGTTTGGAATTTGGGGCAGAGATGACATGTTTGCATAACTTGGGGTAGCTGGCAATTTCATTCACTCTTAATCTGACATTATTTTCTAATACTGTAAAATATGTTACCGCTTGTCCACTAGACGTCAGATGTTCTCCATTTCAGAGAATCATCCAAGCATAAAACTATGGCATAGCTGGGTTCAAGCCTACGTCCATCACCATCTGTAACTTTTAAGTGTTATAAATCCAGAGAGATGTGCTACGACTTTTTCGCCAGAGACGAATGAATCTTTAATTATAGTACAGGTAGTCCTCAACCTGCAACGGTTCGTTTAGTGACCATTCAAAGTTACAACGGCACTGAGAAAAGTGACTTTTTTTCGCACATACCGCCATTGTAAGCACCCCCATGGTCACGTGATCAAAATTCAGATGCTTGGCAATTATATTTACGACGGTTGCAGTGTCCTGGGATCACGTGATTCCCCTTTGGTGACCTTCCGACAAGCAAAGACAATGGGGAAGCCAGATTCACTTAGCAACACTTTGACTAATTTAACAACTACAGTGATTCACTTAACAACTGTGGCAAGAAAGGTTGTCAAATGGAGCAAACTCACGTAACAAATGAAATTTGGGGGTCAACTGTGGACGTAAGTCAAGCACTACCTGTAATACACTTGTATGTAAACAAATACAATATATGTGCATATTGCTTTGTACTTACTGTTTGGCCAGATCCATGGATATTTGCTCTAAAGAACATCCTTTTGTCTCTGGTATACAGATAATAACAAAAGCTAATGAAGCTAAGCTCATCAGCGCATAAATGAAACATATCCAGGGTAAGCCAAGTAGGTCTAAAAAGAATAAATATTGTTTGACTCAGATACTTTAGGGACATAAATTCTTAGAAAAATAATCTGAGTTTACCCGAGATTTGCTATAACATACAAGTATTAGTACATAGAATAACAGCAACAACAAAACCAATTCGACACTGAAAAACACTCAGCAAACATTCTGTATGTTTTATTTTCAACATATAGAAATTACTAGCTTACAAAACAAAACGTTATAGCAGAAACTAGAAAGGATATTATGAAATATTTAAAAGTACTGCTCTATTGTTATAAAATGTCATAAATCTGTATCGAAGAACGCATTGCTTTATTTTCTGATGGGTTGAAAATATTACCTTTTCTAAAAAGAAGTAAGACATTTCCTTGGGCCATGGTTGTAAAATTATATTTTCAGTCCTGTTGTAACTTTCAATGGTGGCTGCATGAGGCAATTAGTAAGCAAGTTCTACCTGTTCCCTGTTTTTTAATGAGCCTGCATATTTGAGCAGCTGAACTCTTGAGTTTGTAAACACTTTTGTGCTAGAAATATAATTTGAGGAACTGGCCCTAATGCACTGAAAAGGCTGTTTTGATAATTTTTTCAAAATATCTTTTTGGTTGACTGATCAACTGACTCACAGGATTTATATGGCACTCCAGTCAAAAATGGAGTGCCATATAAATAAGATAACTTACATCCCGATTTATAAAAACAAGTCTAAAACTATACAAGCAACAAGATCGTACAAAACAGCCACAGGGATACATAAAGTTTTACATTCACTAATGGCTAGATTATAGTAGGAAGCAGAATTCACATCATTCCTGCCTCCAAAGCCTGCTGAAGAACCCAGTTGTGGGTCCAGTGATCACATAAAACATTTGTTGGATGCTCTGATTGTAAAAAGGGCCTAGGACAGGGATAGGCAACCTTAGCTTTTATGATTCGTGGACTTCAACTCCCAGAATTCCTGAGCCAGCGTGCCTGGCTGAGGAATTCTGGGAGTTGAAGTCCACAAGTCATAAAAGGGCCAAGGTTGCTTACCCCTGGCCTAGGATATATTTCTAAAATGACAAAGCCATTCTTGTTAAGATGATAGAAGCTTCCCGGTTGGTAGACAAGCCTTAAGTCATCCATTAATAGCTGCCATCTTTACAAACACCTGTGTGCAAAACAGCACTGGACTCTCTATCCAATACCCCAATGACTAAGGTAGATCCTGGATTGGTCCAGTGAAAGCCAATTCTTTGTTTTGAAAACATACTGCAAGTAACGCTGCAAATTACCTTGGAAATGGGGGTAATGACTATTTTCTCTCTTTTACTTTACTTTTATTCTAAGAGTGATTTTTGTCATATAATATTAAACATATCCTTCTGGCTACAGAAGACCTCTACTCCAACTCCCTGTCTAGAGCAGGAATCCTCCTACTTTCTCAGACAAATGGTTAAAACCTCCAGCAATGAAGCATCCACAACTCTTTGGACTTTCCCAGATTCCTGGAATTCTGCTCAAAGTTGCCACAATTCATCATATTTCTGCCTTTTTAAAGGATTATACCAAGCAGAGAAAAAGGCTGATTATGCTAATTCCCCAGCCACAGCAGACTTACTTGTTATAGTCAAAAACGTTGATGAAATGAGGAGATTAACCCCCCAGTTGATGCTCGATGTGAAAGCAATTGCTCTTCCTCTGATCCCTCCAGGAAATATTTCACTTAACACCAACCACGACACTGAAATAAAATAAAATCAGTTAGCTAGTCAAGTTTCACACTCTTCTACCCTGATCTTATAATTCATAGTTCCATTAAATTATAGCAGAGGTTCTAGAAGCAGCAGAGTGAAGAGACCCACAGATAATAAAACTGGAACATTTATTTTAGGAGTTACTTTTTTAAAGTCACATAAATGATCCAGCTACATTTAAAAAAAAAAAACCCACAGCAGGCTACCCAAGCAGGAAATGCTTGGATATTGTGATTAAAATATAAAAATAAAGCAGCTTATACCCAAGTCTCTAGTAAACAATGTTTTTTTTTGTTCCAGGTCTTAAACAACAACCTGACTTTTGTGCCTTGAAACTACATTCTAAGCTGACTTATATAAAAGGTGCCTCTCTATGACCTTGAAGGACTTCCCAAGTAGGCATGGAGACCAAATGAAAGTCTTCTGATTTATCATCTCCATTGACTCAACTGCATTAGGTATATTTGCTGATCAGGGATAATAATTCTTTTCTAAACATGTATCTGGGACACCCATTTAATTTTATTTTGGATGTTAAACATTGCCACCATTATGCTTGGTTGCTTGGTTGCAATCTAAATAAACGACTACCCTCCTCCCCATTTCCATTGTTTTGACCTGTTCTGAGCCACCCAAATTCACTTAGATGAGATGGATGGCCATACAAATTGAAAAATTATGGTTGGTCACATAGTCAGCCAGATATTTAGACTGAATCTGACATTTTCTTCCACCTATCAAGTCCTTCCCAAGAACCGAGATAGGTAGATGTTGTTGTTTATTAATATTAAAATTAGGAAACAAGCTGTTCCAAGTAAAGCTGCCTTCTGCAATTAATGATTTTGTCAATGCTTCAATGGTGTTGAAGTAGTACTCCAGATGTTTTAGAAATCATTATTATCTAATTTTCCTTTATTGAGGAACAGTAACACCTCAAAATTAGCTACCTTTAAACTTAAGCTCCTAAATGAGGTAATTTCTAAATACAGATCTCCGTCTTAAGAAGAAAGCAAAACCAGTTCAAATCATTGTTGCTCCCATACTGTTTCCTCACTTTGGGGGCTTCTCCTCGTCTGCTCTGTGCAGAAAGAGGGGATATGAAAAAGTGAGAGGCCCATACATTAGTCTTAAGCACAGTCCAGGCAGTGGTGGGATTCAGCTGGTTTGCACCAGTTTGGCAGAACCGGTAGCTAATTTTTTGTTGAATTCTGGCCCAGGCCCAGAATGGACTTTCGGAAGCGGCCTCCACACAGAGAACCGGTTGTTCACATATTTGAATCCCACCACTGAGTCCAGGTCTCTAGAAATTCAAGTATGACTTTAGTTTGGAATGAGGCAATTATAGAACAGAAACTGGAATATAACGGTGCCCCATTCTAGTCTGTGGCTTTGATTCATTGTCACTGAGCATTTGAAGCAAGTAATCCTACCAACACAACATATAAAGCAACAAAAATTATGTTAGTATCTTTTCACATCTATTATTCAGAACAGGACAAGCCTGTTTTTGTTTGGTTTTCAGCAGCCTTCCTTGGAGATGCAGACCGGTTCGTTCACATTAACAGAAGTATTAATAATTGTGATTCAGACATTTCTCAAAGTAGAATTTATGTAAAAAGTGAAAGGAAGGGTTTAATCAATGTTGGATAGTCAAGCTACCATACTATTCATTACATCTAATTTGCTAAAGATGCTAAAGAGACAGACATTTTAAGGTTTTCATTCCCACTTAAGGCTCTGAAATGCTACAATGGAATCAAAAGATGATGAAGAAAAAAGGTTTCTTGAGATTTTAGGAGATGTGAGCCACAGTGGCCAAAGAAATTACTAACAAATACGAAGAAAAGAAAATTCTTCATTTTTGAGAGTACTGATGCCTGAATTCGTTAGCTGCTAATAATTTAGAATAACCTAGGCTAAAATAGAAAGCAAAAAGGAGGTTGATGAATTGAATTTAATCACATTTAAGAATGTAAAACCGATTTTTAAAACCCTCTTTATTTCTTTTATTACTTTCTGCGTAACACAAACAAGAACAACGCTGATCAGCCGCCCATTTGTTTATCATGGTTTTTACAAGGCAAAAAGACCTTTCTATTACAAACCAATCAATGTCTTTTTAAAAATCTAGTTGGCTTCACACATACTGTAAACCTGAATCATAAACCATATCTTAAGTGTCATATTATTTTCAAATAGATCACATAATGACTTACTGTGATGTGGGCACCAGCCACCGGTATTATTTCACTTTGTGTTCACAGTGAGGCAAAGGTAGGAGGTGTAGGTTTGATTAGGAGATAGCAACATGCCCTGAAGTATTAATATTCCTGAGGAAATCTTCCTTGAAGTCAGCCATTCCCTGTCCTATCTAGATTCTATTTATTTTGGTTAAGGTGTTTTTAATTAAAAATATAATGATGCTATATAAAGCATAGCATCAATTAATTTAATGTCTTTATTTCAAAAATACCTTTGGCACAACATACCTATCCCTAAGCCAATAAAAAGTAAATGGCTGCAGCCCAATCTTTGATTAGAAGCTTATCCATTTTCTTATTCTGAGAAAAAGCAATGGTACACATCCTCCAGGAGCTAGAGGAAGTAATGGCATATGATATCACCAGCCTGTTTTCAAATAAATGGATGTTTTGTGACTGGCCATGTTCATAATAGCAACCATTCTCTGAACTGATCTATGGTAACTACCCAAAACATATTCTTAAACCATAAAATGTATCCTCCAACTTAAAAGTATTTTTACTAGTGAGATAGACAGAAGCTTCTGAGGGGAATAGGACAACTTGCCACAGCCAACTCACTGCGGCCAACTTGCCATGGCCATAAGTGAGTTGGCCATGGCAAGTTGGCCATGGCAAGTTGTTACAGACCATTTCTGAGGGCCAAATTACATTTATCTTTCACCTGGGTCAGTGTTTCCCAACCTTGGCAACTCTTAAGATGAAGTCACATCTCCCAGAACTCCCCAGCCTACAAGGCTGGGAAACACTGATCTGTGGGATCCAACTGCTTGCAAATAAATCTATTTCCTAGAACAGTGGTTCTCAACCTTTTCTTCACCACAGACCCCCTTTAAATATCTTTTGTGGCAACGGACTACCAAGACTTAGTTCAAAGACTTAAAACATAACATTTCTTCAAGCCTTCACAGACCCTCTGTGACATTCCGGCCCCCCAGAAGTCTGTGGATTGCAGGTTGAGAACCACTGTCCGAGAAGATGTGGCATGTCATACTGTCTGGCAGTGGCGTAGCGTGGGTTGTCAGCACCCGGGGCAAGTAATTTGCGCCCCCCTCCACAGTGGGCGGCGTCGGCGACCCGGCGGCTCGGATCAGATTCGCACAGCCAGCACTGCAGAGTGAGTGAGTGAGCCAGGCAGGGGCAGGGGCAGAGAGCTGCGAGTGCGAGCGTGCCCCCCCCAGATGTTGCGCCCGGTGCGGCCGGCCCCCCCTGCACCCCCCACGCTACGCCTCTGCTGTCTGGGCATATCAGCAAAGCTTTTGCTTTACAATTTTTGTTGTAAAACTTTCCTATTCAGTAATATTAATCCAAGCATCTTAACACTACACCAAAATATGAGAGAACAATATACAAAGCAATATATATATAACACTTACTTGGTCCAAGTCCTATGGAGAAAGCCGCAACATAAACCAGCAAGCTAGCCAAAGAGAGCCATTTCAGAAAGGGTTGCACCTTTGCAGGTTCAACTGCAACCTGGGATTCTGAATGCATTCTGGCAAACGGTTTGTCTCCTGCCAATGTTGTCCTGTTCTGATACTCTGGGTCAGCAATTTCGCCCTTCCATCGTGAACTTCTAACAGGTAAAGTCGTGCCAGCAAAACGTTCCTTAAAAGTTTCATTGGTGAAGGTCACTGCTCCTTCTCCCTGAAACAGGATCTCTTCCAAAGACTGGTTTTTACAGATAGTGGTGACATTCACATGTATATTATGCATCACTAATCCTAAGGTGATCAATGACACCGACATGAGGGATGAGCCAATACAGAGAAATGTCTTGCTTCCTACGTGGTCCACAAAAAGAATGGCTGGTATCGTACTGATGACTTTAACCACTCCAACCCCGGTTGAGGCCAAAGAAGCTGCTGCATTGCTCTGGAATCCAACTGATTTCAAAACAGTGGATGTGTAAAACAAGATGTTGGGTTGTCCAGTTATTTGTACAAAAAAAACGAGAGTGATCCCTATCATAATCCGTGTTCTCATGTTGTCTTTGGAATGGAACAAATCCAGAAAATGATATTGGTGTTCATCTTTCAAGGAAGATTTGATCATGGTGAGTTCTTCAGTAGTGTCCGAAGTTGCCCTGAGTTTTCCAAGTACTTTACTAGCAGCTTCATCGAAACCTTTCATAACCAAAAAACGAGGACTGGGCAGAAGAAAATATAAAGCAACTATTTGTAAAACCCCCAGTGGGATAACAAGGCCGAACATGTACTTCCAACCCTGGGATACATTAGCAAAGGCATAATTAGAAATGTAGGCACAGAGAATGCCCGTAACAATCATGAGTTCATTTAAAGACACAAGCAAGCCTCTTCTGTGCTGCGGGGCAATCTCTGCGATATACACACAGGTTGCAGTTGAAGAGAGGGAAACGGAAACCCCTATCACAATCCGTCCCACTATAAGTAGTTCAAAGGAGGCAAAAATGATCAGAATCAGACTGCCCACAACTAGTAAAGCAGATGACAACATAATGGTAAATCGCCTCCCATATTTGTCTATCAGGATTCCACCAGTTACTGAAGCTAACAAGGCACCAACAAGAACTGTGCTTACAATTATTTCTTGTTGTCGGCACGAAAGTGTTAGGATGCTGGTTAGCTGAAGAAGAGCTCCAGAGATAACTGCAAGCTCATAACCCATCAAAAATCCACTGATGGCAGCAGTGACAGAAGACAGGAGAGTGAACATTCCACAACCTGGAATTAAAGGATATGAGAAAAATCCATTTAGTTTTGTAGCAGCAGTAAATATATCTTAGAAACCATACTTTTTCTAAGATGCTCTAGCACAGGGGTAGGCAACCTTGGCTCTTTTATGACTCGTGGACTTCAACTCCCAGAATTCCTGAGCCAGCATGGCTGGCTCAGGAATTCTGGGAGTTGAAGTCCACGAGTCATAAAAGAGCCAAGATTGCCTACCCCTGCTCTAGCAGTTACAATGGAGAATTCTATAAAAAGAGTTTTAAATAGATTAACCTTTCTTATTTCAAAAATCAGCATGCTGCGGTATGAGCCCAGAGAATTAAGAACTGAGCTAAGGAAATAGTTAGTCATGATCAAAATGTGGCAGAGTTTTCTGGACCCAGACTGGAAGCTGGGTCTGCTGATGAGTGGAGTCCTACCCAAGATTCTTGGTCATAAACAAAAAGTCCTTGATAGAATATATTGGTTATGGTTGAAATGGTGCAAGTAGAGGGAATATTCACAACAAAACATTTTTGATCTCCACAATTATTATTTTTTTGCCAAAACATGGGACTGTTTGGGATGCCAGAATAATGGACAACTGGAAACCTGAGAAATGGAGCTAATTTCAACATACATTTTATTATGAAAGTAATTGTTTTCTTTTACATTTCTTATTTTTAAATAATTTTCCACTCGCTTTTTTTCATCCTTTAGATTTAAGATTTAGGAAAGGACCTAGGTTAATTATATTAAAACTGCTAAACTGCAACATGAATTAATATGAAGTTCCCATTGAAGGAATGTATGCAATGTGAAACTGTTCAGATAATAACTCTGGTACCATTTATTTGCACTGGATTGTGTTTTTTTAACAAATCACAACACATTCCAGAAAAGACCTCATAGGAGAGGCATAGAGCCACATTGGCATAAAAACTATCCAAATGAGAGATTGCAGATGATTTTCCATATTCTACCTAAACCAAGAATGTGCCAAATCTTGCAATTTAATTTAATTTTGTTTCTCTGTGTGTGTGTGTGTTTGTGTGTAAAATTTAGCTTAGCCAGACTGTCTTGTAAGTCTTATGCACCTGCCTAACCACATGGCCTGAAGTCTGTACTGTTTGATTTTTTTAAAAAAAATTCCTAAGTTTGCTGATTGTCCACACTACCTTGAATATTAGAAGTTACTTTAATTTCTGGTTTTAAAGGTAAAACTCTGAATAAAAAAATTAAAATGCTATTTAATCGTGCACGTTGGACATAGGTTGAGACACATTTTAATATCCACTTTAAGTTGGTCTTTCTAAGGGTTAGAATGTGTGTTCCATTAATTGCACTGTTGTTAAACAATGGGCCCAGGAACAGTTACACGTCACCGTATTCATCATTAAGAGGAGGGAGAGACTGAGATGCTCAAGTACAATAATAATGGCTGAAAACAGTTAATAGAAGAAAGGTTGATTACTTTTCCATGTACTACTGAGTACCCTTTGCTAGGCATTCTGCCTAAGATGTGTTATACGTTGTTTCCCAAATCTATTCTAATGTTTAATTCCTTTAGATTTCCTTTCACTTGGCCTTTTTAAATTATCTCCTGCTACATTTCACTTTGTTTACTTTTGTTAATCATAAAAATACTAATAATCAATACACAAACATGAACTTACTGTACTTAAAAAACGTATTTGTTGACTTAATATTGAGAACCACTTTTCAGTGTATATCTATCACACTAAAAACAAATTACTCTTTTATTTCTTATACTACCTGTTATAATTGTATACTTTGTCAGCTATGAATTGAACTATTCACCTTTTGACAGTATTTTAAAATGATTATTTATTTATTAAATAAGCTGTATACTGCTCATGTCACCATAGTGATTCATAGTGATTAAAAAATAGTTTACAAAAATGGTATAACACATGCCCAATAGCTAAAAATCATCCCACTTTCCAGTCAAATAAAGACAAGAACTAGGTAAACCAAAGACAGACGGAGGTTGATGGTCCAGCAAATAACATGACCCTGTGCCATGAAGGGCTATACAAGTGATGACAACACCTTTAATTGTACTCAGAACCTCGCTGGAAGCTAGCACAGTTCTTCGGGGTTTTAATGACCATATTTGGAAACACCCAAAACTGCCAACATCACTACATGAACCTTTTTCCATAGACGGTGCTTAGTAGACCTATGATATTTGAAAAGTTGCTGGTGTAGTAATGATCTATGGCAAGGCTTTTCAACCAGGGGTACGGGTACCACCTGTGCTACATTGGCACCTGGCAGGTGGTACGCAACCATCCTAGAAAAGTGGTAGTGGGGGAGGGGAATGAGCTGAACCGGTGGCAGCACCGCACAAGCCTGAGTGAGAGATGGCTGGAGCTGCAGGGCTGTCAGGGCTCAGCGGAAGCGCCAGGATTGGCGCTTCTTCAGAACTGTCAGGGCTTAGTGGAAGTGCCAGGATCAGTGCCAGGCTCCAGGTGGAGCTGGGCGCTGATCCTGATGCTTCTGCTGAGCCCAGAAGAAGCGCTGATCAGCTGGAATGTTGCAACATATCCAGGGTCTTGTGATTTACATTCAGATGCTTGGCAATTGATTCATATTTATGACGGTCACAGAGTCCCAGGGTCATGTGAAGTGACCAAAACCTGTTGCAACCACCCAGCAGACGGGGGGAATAAAAACCAAACACCCCCCCACCCCATCCGCCACTGCCAATCCTCAACAGAAATGCTCACAACAATGAAAACCTCGGACAGGAGGAAGAGCGCCACCGGGTGGGCAGGCAGGTGTCTTGCTTGGCACTTTTTTTGGTGTCATTGTAACTTCAAACAGTCACTAAGCGAACTGTTGTAAGTCGAGGACTACTAGTATTTCATCACTTTTTTCCTTTTTTTTGTTTTGGTCATCAAGTTTTTGACACCTTGCTAGGCAACTGGTGGTACTCGGATATTGCCATATCCTAAAAGGGGTACAATGGGTGAAAAGGTTGAAAAGCCCTGATCTATGGCATTAGTAGTTCTATTAGGAACAGAGCTCTCCTTTGATCTAGAGCAGGAGTGTCAAACTGCCGGCCCACGGGCCAGTTGCATCATGCCGATGCCGCACCCCCTCCCAGTTCCGGCAATGCGAAAAAACTCACGATACATCGCAACGCGTTAGGTGACACAGCGAGTTTGACACCCGTGATCTAGAGCTTAAGGCCCCAGGCTACAAACCTAGACCCCATCTTAGGCAGGAAAGCCAGCAGGGTGACTTTGGGCCAGTCCCTCTCTCTCAGCCCATGACATCACGCTCGGGTGACAAGCTGGTTAGTCATTTTTTGTTGTAACCAATGGATCAACACTGCAGAAAAAACAGACTCTGAATTTGCTGGAAAAGGCCAGAAGAAAAAAAAGAAATAGAAGTTCTATTAAAAGTTCTAAAAAGTTCTATGGCGTTAGAAAAAGTTGCTGGTGTAGCAATGTATTGTCTGGATTCTCTTTTCTCATCTCTTTGCTTGCTTTTGCCAACTATTTCATCACAGATGGGAAAGCATATGATTTGCCTAGGTGAATCATGCTCCAGGGATGAAAAAGGCCAGCAATAAGGAAACAGGGTGATAAATTGTAGTTGCTTGCTCAATCTAATGATACTGTAAATAATTAATGGAGAAAATGGAGATCACCAGAGACTTTATTTTTTGAGGGGGAGGGAGAGAGTCAGGTAAATAAAAAAAATAACGATGGACAACTAGCAAATATTTCAGTCAAGGTAAAACTGACAGAAAATTAAATTTATATTTCAAAGTAGCCTAAAAAAGAAACAATAAATAGCATCCGGATTAGGGCATACAGTACACTATTCTGCAAGTGGTTCCAACATTTAGGAGTGGGAATTATAGGCAAATGACAAACATTTGGAAAGACGCAGGAGAAGAAAGTGGAGGGGATGATGTCTAAAATGCTACTATGCAAGTAAGAAAACATAATCTGGCATGGTTCCAGTTTCCCATACATGTGACTTTATTAAAATCTGCACATTACGCAATTTATTTATTTCATTAAATGCATTAAAGCTGCCAATTCCAGAAGACTCTCCTCACCCATTGAGAATGACAGTACATCGGGTCCTACAGAATTAAGCACTTAGAAATTAATAAAGTACAAAGAAAATTATTTATTTATCATTTAAATTTCTTCCCAATTGAACAATGACTCTAAGCGGCATACAAATTAACATTACATGAACTGTTTGTCACCCTTTTTTAGGACAGCTGAGTTATAAAGGATCTGAGCCATCCCCTTTTCCTTTCATTTCCAAGCAAATTCTTGATGGAAAACAGCATCATCTTCTTAGAATTGTATGAAGCCTTGTGATTTATTACAAGATTAATGCCTGCTTCTTTTATTTCTATTATTAGAAGTTTACTAACATCTAAGCAATAAATTTAAAACGAAGGCACTTGCCTTTGCTCTTGTATAAGCATGTTTAGTTGCCCATGCCGACTTGCAATAGCTTGGATTTTACATTTAGATTTACATTTTTTTACATTTAGAACTCGGCCTTCCCCAACACACACATACTTACTGCATAGCTTTCTGAAAATATGCACTTTAGAGACCCAAGTGTGAAAAGCCTTTCCTGGACATTCAATTTTCCCCCATAACCCTGTGAGGTTGGTTGGGCTAAGAAAGACAGACTAGCCAGTCAATGAGCGTTCATGGCTGACCGAAGACTGGATCTTTTTAGTATCTTGTCCAGCATCTTCTCCGCTACAGGAATGACATTGAGAAGAAGCATTTCTTGTATACTTCATAGTGAAGAAATGCATTTAACATTTGAAGAAAGATAGGGCTGTAGAGAAGTCAGCCTTAAATTACCCAGCTGCATTATTGCCAATAAATTCAGATTGATGGACATCATGTTCCTAAAATAACAACTTGTTTTGTTTCCCAGTGTGGCTAGAATGCCTTTGCTCCACCCAAGCCCCATTGCTGTTCCATCATCCCAATAAAGAGGGACAACTCAATAAACTCTGGCAGCTATTTTTTCTCTTTCTTTCCTACCTACTCCTGTTTACTACATTACACAAATGGCTTTCAAAAGAAGAAAACTATACGGCTACCATGAAAAGTATCCAGAAGCTTCAACTGGTAAAAAATGTGGCTGTAGGCAATCTTGAGTGCCCAAGGAGTGGTCTATATAACCTCTCTGCTGCTAGTCTGCTTCCAGGTCCAATTCAAGGTCTTGGTTATGACTCTTAAAGCCCTACATGGTATGTGGCAGGGTTATCTATGGAACCATCTTCATCCCGTTACATCAGCCCAACCCACCCAGTCAAGCAAGGAAAGTATGTTACAGACCTTCTCAACCAAAGAATTCCAACTGATGGGGCCCAGGAAGAGAGCCTTCTCTGCCGCTGCCCCTGCCCTGTGGAGCAGTCTCCCCCCAGAGGTGAGGCAGGCCCCCGCCCTCTTGACCTTCCGTAAAGGCCTAAAAACATGGCTCTGTTTTTTGCTTCGGGTGTGCAGAGGAACCTGCAGCCATGGTCCTGGTTAGCTCCCTGAAAGTGCTCCCTGACTTTTAACATTCCTTGCCTCTTTTAAATGTTATATACCATTTCATGCTTTTAATATTTTACTGTACACCACCCAGAGTCCCTCTGCAATAGAGCTGAGTGGTTCTTAAATATGATAAACAAATAAAGGAAATTTACTGAAATATAACGCTGGATTAACTTCTAACTTGCGAACCTGAGTAGCACCTATATATCAATAATATACTGGGTACATGATGTCTTCTCACATCCATCTAATATTAGCAGTCTCAGGCAGGCAGTATTGACAGATTTATCAGATATACAGGTAGGATATATTTGGACTCATTGATTTGAATTAATGATCCAAAAAGAAGAGAACAGAAATAGAGCAAAGTGAACAAGAAGGGAGTAGAAAACAGCACAAAAAAAGTATTAGGAATAAATGATATACCGGTATATAATGCAATCCAATCCAATCCAACATTTCATTTTAAAGATCTACAAACCTTGACATTCTGTTAATCAAAATATAGGACATTAATGAGAAGTCTAAACAAACCTGATCTGATTACATTTTAAATGCTTTCTATGCATTTTTTCCTAATATAAATTACGAATAACAACATAATAGTGTTCTTTATAGTAGATGCAGCAAATTTAAAGGAATTTTACATACTACTCACCTTTGTGTGTATGTGTGCATGCAACTACTTGCAAAATTAACATCTATAGTGCTTCTTTCTGTAGCTATATATGGTCACGGGGACAATAAGCCTTTGAAATAACCCAAAATCTAATCAATTAATTGTTGCAGATTTACAAAACAAGCCATTATCACAGCATCATTATATTACATTATCAATGGTTTTTGGGGGAGGAAACCTAGTATTTTATATATAATTGGATATAAGGTACTGAATAATCTAAATCTAAACCACGTTCAGACCATTATAAACAAAGGAATTTTGACTTCTACCCATATCTATCATCTGAGAATGTCATTCTTGGATAGATGCTGAGGGCCTCAAATTCAAAAGGGTCAGTATCCATTGTACTGATGGATACTGTAGTGCGGTGTCTCTTTAAATGAGAGCAACGGCTATCTGCCAGTTGTCTAATACAGTGTTTCTCAACCTTAGCAACAACAAGCTGGCTGTGGAATTCTGGGAGTTGAAGTCCACACAGCTTAGGATCGCCAAGGTTTGCTTTACTTTATTTCTCACCTTTATTATTTTTACAAATAACTCAAGGCAACTAATATACCTATTTCTCTACCTATTTTCCCCACAACAACAACAACCCTGCAGTGGTGAGATCAATTGAGAGGGTGTGACTGGCCAAAAGTCATCCAGCCAGCTTTTATGCCTAAGGCAAGTCTAGAACTCACAGTCACTTTAACCACTAGACCAGGGGCCTTCAAACTTGGCCCTTTTATGACTTGTGGACTTCAACTTCCAGAATTCCTCAGCCAGGAACGCTGGCTGAAGAATTCTGGGAGTTGAAGTCCACAAGTCATAAAAGGGCCAAGTATGAAGACCCCTGCACCAGACCAAACTGGCTGTCAGGCTGGTTGAGAAACATTAGTCTAACAAAAGAATACCATAAGCCACAACAAACCTGACCCATTCGATATAAGGGTACCATTCCCTGCCATTAGCAAGAATGCTGTTATGGAACAAAGCAAAGGACTGACATGGGTCCTATCAAAAACACTGCTACTTGCTAGGAAAGTGAGCTTGGCAGCTTCAGAGATTGCGGCGAGATGGGAAGTCAGGTTAAAAGATGTTAAGAGATGCAGTCAATGGAAACATGAAACCTTTTCAGGAAGGGATCCCTACCCCAAGGGTTTTTTTTTTCTTTTTGCTAATTACAGTTAGTCCTCGACTTACAACCATTCATTTAGTGACTGTTCAAAGTCACAATGGCATTGAAAAAAGTGACATGACCATTTTTTCACATTTACGACTGTTGCAGCATCTCCATGGTCACGTGATCAAAATTCAGACACTTAGCAACTGCCTCATATTTAAGATGGTTGCAGTGTTCTGGGGTCATGTGATCATCTTTTGTGACCTTCTGCCAAGCAAAGTCAAGGGGGAAGCCAGATTCATTTAATAACAGTGTCTACTAACTTAACTGTAGTGATTCACTTAACAGCTGTGGCAAGAAGAGCTGTAAAATGGGGGCAAAATTCACTTAACTGTCTTGCTTAACAATAGAAATTTTGGGTTCAACTGTCGTCGTATGTCGAGGACTACCTGTGTACTTGCTTCTTCTGTTAATCTCCTGCGCCATTTTCTATGAAATTCTAAGCTCTTTGCTTACTTAAGGGAGCCAGCTATATCTTGCCCGTGTTCTTTACTTAATTAACTAATCCAGCAAGTGTTCAAGGTTAATCAATCATACCCATTAGTCCTTATCATACTAACACAAGCTCTCTTCCAACCTCCCGCTTTCCTTGCTGTCGGCTTTTAAGAGGGCATTTTATGAATTCACTGGCTAGAACAGAAGTGCTTCATCAAAGGATTTGTATATGTATTGAAAACAGTCATCTGCACAAAGCCATTCCAAGTATCTCAGCTGTCATGTGAAAGTTAAATCCTTAGGATCAGCACATTGTGAATGAATATACCACCCCATGTAGCTCTTTTGTGTTACTTTTGGAAATCTGCAAAAGACCCAGTAGGCATAAACAAAATGAAACAATAAAGACATTGCGGTCTTAAGGGTTTTTAAAAACATAGATAATGCCAGTCTTGCTGTGTTCTGAAATCAGAGCCAAAATCATCAGCAAACACTTGGAAAGACAACCATGTTCACATGACGAATTGAAGCTTCAAGCGGGCAGATGTTGTTTTCATGGTGTACAACAGTCACTCTAGGTTATATCTGACAATAAGTTCAGGCACCTTGTCTGTCCAATTAAGGCAGGAAATAAACTAAGTGCAAGATAAACAATCTGCACCTCACATGCAAAACGATGCAAAGGCCATTCATTGTTCAAGGGTAAGATCAAAGTGCTTAGCAGATGAAGAATTACTTGGATCAGGAAAAACAGTATTAAAACTTAGTTACTATTGCTTAAATGAGAGTCAGTTGATATAAGTAGTGATTAAGGCTAGAAACTGAGGGACCTGAGTTCTAGTGCTGCCTCTAAAGCCAGCTGGTGATCTTCAGCCAGTCACTTTCCTTCAACCCTAGGAAGGAGGCAATAGTAAATCACTTCTGAAACATTAGCAAGAAAATTTGCAGGGATTTTCCGGGCAGTCGCTAGGAATCAAGACTAGGCACATACCCCCCCTCCGGTGGCTTAGCTTTAGACATCACACAGAATTGCTCCCAGGCTAAAATAGAACCAGCAGAATTCTTCTTCTTGTCTCCTTTGGCTTCTGACACGCCAAAAGGATCTCTATGTACATACTGGCAGTGTTATTTCCAATACCGCCCTAAAGAAAGAAGACGAGTAAGAAAGCTGAGTGACAAAACGATTGGAAAAGTTCCGAGCTATTTTGTTTCTTAACATGCATTTTGCCTCTCGTATTGTTCTGTTTCTTGACCCTGGGGAAATTACAAACGTGCATTAGCTGCGTCTCTCAAGTCTGCAGGCATACCCGCAATCGGGATTCGGCTTGTTTTACCTGTTTGAGCTGGAGGCTTGTGAAAGCTTCTGCCTGCGGTACCCTCTTCTGTCTCGTTCTGGCTTTTCGGACTGAGGTCCTCCTTGTTCTGCCCGAGTAACATGGCTGGAGCCTGAGAAAGCCCAGGGGCCCTTCGAGACTAAACGCTTTTTACAAGGCGGCCGCCTTCCCCAGGCGCTCCAAAACGGCGTTGAGTCTCGCCGCTCTTCTCATGGCAGCAGGATGAAATCTGAAAGTTACTAAGGCGATCCGCGAGTAACTTTTCTTTCCGCTACCGCAGGCTTTGCCCTTTTCGGTGACCCGGCCTGTTGCTATTCTGGCGGAGCCTATCAGCGGCGCGAAAGGGAGGGATTTTTTTCCCCCAGACTTATTGTTTTCACTTTAAACAAATAGCTGAGAACCGAAGAGGAGGAACGCGGAGCTCAGCCGAAGCTCCGGAGCTAGTCGTTCTAAGCTGTTTCTCCACAATGAGTATTTTACAACCCCCCCCCTCCGCTCCCTTTTACTCCCCCCCCCGGTGTGTTTGTGTGTGTTTTATGAGCTGAAGTACTTGCAGGGCCTACACAAACGAGCCAAACGAGCACACAGGGTACCGTCCTTGCACAGGACCATCATTTTTATACTTTATTTTTTTTAACCATTCTGAGCAATGAAAGAAATGAGGGAAAGAGTCATCATTCTAAGGCAAATCCAATGACTGTTGGTCTGGCTTCTTTTCTCCCCTTTTTTTTCAATAAAGGTTGCTACGCTGGCAAGAAAGAGGAAGCAGAACTCCCAACATCTGAGAAGAAAAGGGGGATGCTTACAACCAGCTCTAAAGGGGATTATTTCTGTAAAAATTTAAATCTGTTACAAATATGTTTTGCGCAGGCAACAGTAGGTTGTGGATGTATATAATGATTTTAGATTCAGCTCTCCTGCAGAAAATACAAGAGAATGTAGCATTGCCTTAAAATAAATTTAATAAATAAATAAAACATTGTGAGATTAATATAAGTAGCATTATTTCCTGAACAACCCACAATTGTTTGGGTTTAGACATAACTATAAAGGTATAAGCCCCAGTGGTTGATTACGTTGCACCAAGCAAAACCAGACTGCCTCAGTACAATGCGTCATCCCGCCAGTAATATTTAAGTATTAAATTTCTGGAATGGTAATACTGTGAATGTTGATCACGGTTTTATGTGTTGCTTTTTTAACTAGTCTAAATTTCAGTACATGCACTCTGCTAGCTTTGAGGATAGTGGAAATCACAAGGTAGGGTTGTCTGTAAATGTGAAAAAAGTCAAGATGAGGGCCAGGATTGTGTGATTGAAGCTCTGTGGCTTTTCACACATCACATGCACAATGCATATAAAAAGAGATGGGGATTTAATCACACCACTCCTGTCACTGCCTTGACTTTTTGACATAAACATCCCTCCAGTGCTCCTGTCAAGAATATACTAGGCTTCGTTTAGTTTAACGTTTACGCATGAGAGATTATAATTCCAGATCCATTCGGTGTCATCTGCAGTGGAATTTATAGTAATAATCTTCTGGTGAATGGCAAAAGTACTAAAATCAATAGGCAAGTGAGGAAAACCCAAAGCAAATGAGAAGCTTCAACGATGCTTTTATTTTAAAGGCAACTGTACTTTCTGGTTTTTCTTTTAAGACGTTTCACTTCTCATCCAAGAAGCTTCTTCAGTTCTAAATAACTTGTGGAACATGGAAGGGATTTATACTCTCTGCAAACAGCCAGTCAACAGTCTGATGGTTGTTGAAAATACCTTGGTGCTAATAATCTGTGTCCTGTCACATAGTAAGAACTGAAGAAGCTTCTTGGATGTGAAGTGAAACCATCTTAGAGAAAAAAACAGAAATTCCAGTTGCCTCTAAATAAAAGTACCTTTGGGACAATCATGGCCCGGATGAATGAGAACTTCTATAGACAAATGAGAAGCTTTTGATACAAAGAATTTTAATTCTATCTTCCCACATGCTCTCATTTTCTATTATTTTTTAAAGAGTAATTCAAAGGAAAGGCTCATCTATAACTTCTACCCTCAGTAAACATTTTTTGCAACTTTCCGGATGAAATATTTTTCCCATCACAACAATGGGACCTGTAATATTTTTTTTCTTCTTAAAATCAATATTCATACTCATATGCAATTTTCTCCTACCCCCCTCCACTTTCTGTACTGCAGAGAAAAACAGAAAATGAAAGTCATTGTTGAAGGGCTAATGTTGCACTGAATGAAAAAAATGAAGTTATCATTATAGGTAGTCCTCGATTTATAACTATAATTGAGACCAGAGTTTCCATTGCTAAGCAAATCAATTGTTAAGTGAATTGTTCCCAATTTTACGACCTTTCTTGACTCAGCTGTTAAGTGAATCACTGCAGTTATTAAGTGAATTATGCAGTCATTAAGTGAATCTGGCTTCCCCTATTGACTTTGTTTTTCAGAAGTTGGCTGGGGCGATGCAAATAGTAATTACATAAACCTGAGATGTTGCAACTGTATAGATACATGACAGTTGCTAAGCACCCAAATATTGATCATATGACCATGGGGATACTGCAACAGTCAGGGCTTTTTTCATAAGCACTTGGTCCTAAGTTGCTTTTTTCAATGTGGTTGTAACTTCGAACAGTCGTTAAACAAATGGTTGTAAGTCAAATATTATCTGTATTATCCCTTTGTTATCAAGGCTTTAAGGCAGGGGTCTTCAAACTTGGCCCTTTTATGACTTGTGTACTTCAACTCCCAGAATTCCTCAGCCAGGCATGCTGGCTGAGGAATTCTGGGAGTTGAAGTCCATAAGTCATAAAAGGGCCAAGTTTGAAGACCCCTGCTTTAAGATAACTAGAAAGTATTTGAGGTATTCAAGCTACAACAAATAAATGGCAATAAAGAGAGGACACATGTGCAACTTTGAATTTTTCAACGGAGAAATTCTTAGAAGATGTCATAGAACCCCAAACGTTCATTGAGTACTTACTGTACAGTCAACCAAATGGTAGAAGAGGGAAGATGTGGCTACACGTACTCAGGACAAGCAAGCATATAACTCAATGAGCAATATATTTCCAATGAGAAGACAGACCCTTCCTAAGCAAACCCTGATATATTTCATACTGTACTCACCAAACCAATGTCATATGCCTATTACAGCTGATGGTTGGGTGGTGTTGTTGTTTGGTGCTTTTGAGTCATTGTTGACTCTTGGTGGCTGCCTGGACTAGTCCCTGCAGTTTTCTTGCCAAGATTTCAAAACTGACTTGCCCTTGTCTTCTGCCTAGGGTTCAGAGGGACTGACTGTACAAGTACACTCAGCTTTCTTTGTACTTAAGGCAGGATTAGAACTTTTAGTCTCCCAGTTTCTAAGCTGGTTATATTGATTTTCCTTACAGCAAATAATGACAAAAGTATATTATTTTTAAAATGTTCACTGTAATTAGGTGTAGCCCCGAGAGGTGCAGGTATATACGTAGGATTTGTTGGAATGTAATAGTGGCATCTCCAGATAGCCAAACAGTATAGAACTGTCTTTTGTAAATGCATTCAGCACAATCCATTCAGCCACAAACTACTGTAAGAATAACAAGAACAGTACAGTACAACCAAAAACAGTAAAGACATTTGCCCATGAAATATATTGCAAGGATCAAAACCCAGGCTACAGAGAATATAAGTGTGGTTTGTTGCACGGTCAGCCAGATGTTTAGATTGGATTTGGCATTTTTAGCCACCTACCAAGTCATTCCCAAGGACCTGCGATAGGCAGACTTTATTGTTTGATTGTGTTAAAGATATCATCATAGAATGTAAGCAGTTCCAAGTAATTGCTGCCTTTTGCAATTGATTGATAATGATTTTGTCAGTGTTGATGGTGTTCAAGTGGTATTCCAATTGTTTTGGATTTGCACCAGGACAAATTCTCTCTCTTCTCATGTGTTTCCTTTCACATGGTGTGAGATCTAAACTTGTTAAAAATAAAGGGAAGATCAACTTAGTTATCACTTGAGATTGATCCTCCCTATAAATAGCTGCTCATGTGTGCTAAGCAGTTAGACTCCATATAATGAAGTGTAAATTCAAGTGAATTTTTATACTCACTTCAGATAGTATCTATGCTTTCTTTTGTCACAGTTGTTCTACTTCTATTTGCAGGTCTTTTTATTGTGTGATTTTTCTCCAGTTCTTTCTTTTATGTTCTGCTGTGTCTAGGTACTACCACATCCATATCTTTTTTGTCTGTCTTATCAACAATTGTTGCATCTCTGGTTATTATTATTATTTATTAAATTTATATGCAGCCCGTATCACTATCATGTAACTTTGGATAGCTGAGTGCCTGCAACAACTTTTAGGATTTGATCATGCCTCATCTCTCTCTCTCTCTCTCTCTCTCTCTCTCTCTCTCTCTCTCTCTCTCTCTCTCTCTCTCTCTCTCTCTCTATCTATCTATCTATCTATCTATCTATCTATCTATCTATCTATTTATCTATATATATATATATTATATATATATAATATTTTATTATATATATATAAATAAAAATGTTAATGTTCGTTTGTTCAAAATCTTAAATCTCCGAAAGTTCTTCACCGATTGCTTTGAAATTTTGACACAACGTTGCATTCGAATATGCGCGTGTTTTTATATACCTATATTATATAGATGTCACACCTGTGACAGGTAAAACATGCTTTTTTTGAAAAACAGTACCATCTGTTGGACGTAAAAGCAACACTTTCTTTTCCATTTAACCAGACTGAGCCACAGCAACGTGTGGCCGGGTACAGCTAGTAGTTTATAAATTAAAACTGAATGATTTATATGTATTCCAGGATATCAGTTTTTTCCCCTTTTTTTCTAATTTATTTCACAAACTAGGAAACACAAAATCTAGAAACTTCTTTGTTGATGAAAGGCCTATTTGCCAATGAGAATCTTTTCATGTAGGAGAACATTTTAGTCTTTGAAGTAATGCTGGGTTTTGTTGTTTACTGTGTGAGTCCTTCATAGCACTTTGTAATGGAAATCACCATTATTGTCTATATTGTCTATACTTGTCAGATTGAAAAACAGCTGAAGGCGTCAACTGAAGGTTTAGTAAATTGCAACCTGGCTTCAAAAGATACTTCCAAACAGAAGATAAAGAACAATAGCTATAACTATAATTAACCACCATTGTGCATTAAAACAAATTCTCCCTCTTTTCATGTGTTTCCTTTCACATGAT